CACGGCCCCTGGTTCTTTAAAAAAAAAAGCCCCACACTCACTGGTTGCTGAAGCAGCCATTGGGGCTTCTGGGGGCTCATGGCAGGACCCCCAGTGCAGCACAGGGCAGTGGGGGGCAGCAGCAATTGCCTTCCATGCCTGGCAGGAGTCAGTGAGTGCAGGGCTTTTCTTTTTTTAAAGAGATGGGAGTTGGGGCCGGGTGGGGCAGCTATTGATGGGGCTGGGAGAGTGGGTGGGGGATAGAGGCTCATGGCACAGTCCTCCATGCAGCATGGGGCAGTGGGGGGCAGCAGGGATCGCCCCCCTGCCTGGCAGCAGCCAGCAGAAGCGACCCAAGCAGGGTGCAGGGACTGGGGCAAATCAACCTGTGTGGGGCCCCACCTGCAGACATGAGGAAGCCGGCGGCAGATTTGGTGGTGGTGGGGTGGGTGCCGAGCAGCCGGAGGCACCGGATTTGTTCGGGGTGGGGATGGGGGTGTGCCAAGCAGTTGGATATGAAGCTGGCACCAGCGTGGAGTCATTATAGCTTCTCTACGCGGCTCCGCCGGGCCCCCCAAAGCATGGGGACTTGGGTCGTTGTCCTGACTTGCCACTCCCTGGGGATGACCCTAGCAGCTGGTGAGTGGGGGCTGTTTTGTTGTTGTTGTTTTTTTTTTAAAGAGCTGGGCGAGCAGGTGGGGGATGGAGACTCATGACAGATCCCCCCACACATTGCAGGGCAGTGGGGATCACCCCACTCCGCCTGGCAGCAGCTGGTGAGTGCCAGGCTTTTTTCTTTAAGAGCCAGGAGGCTAGGGCAAGGCAGTGCAGCCATTGATGGGGCTGGGAGAGCTGGTGGGGGATGAGGCCTGTTTGATTTGGAGATTTGGCTGATTTGGCCACGGCTGAATCTCTGAATCAGATTCAGTTGAATTGATTCACAACAGTGGTTCGAATCACAGATTTGAATCACTCTCCCCCAAACCGACCGAATCCGAAGTGAATACTACACACAGGCCTAATAACTATGTGAAACGGGGCTGTGAAGAAATGTGAACCCTGCCTGATAGAGATGTGTTGGCAGAAACCCTAGTGTAGATACCCCTATACCAGCAAAACTGCAACAGTATAACTTGTTTCACTTGTGAGAGTAGACACATTACACTCCCTGATTGGTGACATAGCTAAATCCCCACTAGGCGTGCTTTGCTGGCACAGAGCGATTAATGTATTTATCACGCTATAAATTTTAACATTGAATCAGTGAATTTATGACATGATAAAATGGCAAACAAGCCACAAGGACATTCTACATTTAATGTATAATACTTTTGAGGCCTATTTGTTTCATGTTCTAATTTGAATAAATGAATTTATGGCATGTAGCATTGGGCTATCTGGTGTAGTTTTAAATGTCCCTGCACAGAGAACCTATTGGCTCCCCTGGTGTGCAAATATTTAAAACTATTCTATGCAGCTTGATATTGGGTGGGGATGGTCCTGCTTTGAGCAGGGGGTAGGACTAGATGATCTCCTGAGGTCCCTTCCAATCCTAATTTTTTATGATTCTATGGGTCCATATAACAAGGACGGCTGAGGACCTGGACTACCCAGTGCTCAGCTGCATGCACCCCAGAATGGGCTGGGGTGCATGTTCATGGGTATTAGGGAGCTTCTCAGTTGCCAGTCCACATGCAGGTGGGGATCAAGGGGCTCCCTAGTTCCAGCTGCACATTTCTGTTGGGACCACCTAATCCCTGGAGGTAGCACTAAATCGTGAGTCTGAGACTTGGTGCTGCTCACCAGATCTCCTGAGGCAGCTCCCAGTCCTGGTTCCAGAACCTGGACCTTTTAAGTGCCTGTGAAGGAGTGCCAATGGAGCCCAGCAAGGGTGACCCATTCCCCATGCAGAGCTTCCTTCTCCACAGTTGGGTGACTGGGATCTGAAGAGTTTTATCACCAAACCCAATCACATGCATCCTGCTACATACATCTGACATGGCAGGACATGCAATTCTGGGGATAAGGCATAAAATTCCTCACATCCCAACTGTGTGATGCTTTTAATGTCTTCCAGGATCCTAAGATGAAGATACCATTCACACACAGTGGGCATGTCGACACAAGATGCTTCATTGTCATAGCAACATGCTACAGCAATGTAGTGGCCATGGGGAAGAACTGTGATGCTGCTGCTATGTCGCTGTTGCAGTGCACTCCCTCAGTACACCACGTTGCTATGGGGATGTAATGGCTAAAAATAATCATGTGTCATTGGCACAGTAGAAGCTCTTACAGCAGTACGGGCCTTTTCGAAGTAGTAAGTGACAGCACAGTAACAACGGTGCTGTAGGGGCACATGTAGACATGCCCAGTATTTAGTAGTATGACAGCATCATTCTAGAAAGAAAATTATGCAAACAGAGACAAGATGGTTTGTAAATACCACGAATGGAAAATTACCTTTAATGTCATGTCATCAGAGCAGGATGCTAGCAGCATGCCAGAAGGGTCCCATTTAATTGCATTGACTTCATTCTGAAATAAAATTTGATTTTGTAAGTGAATGCTCCAAGTAGCCTGCATTGTACCTGGCATCCAGCAGAGGGCTCTCACGCATTATCACTACAACATGTGAAAACACTGCAAATGCTTATCTTATGCTTTCATTAGCTTATACATGAATGAAAACAGAACTTCTCTTCCACATCTCAATACCTAAATACAGCTTAGGAATGGAAACCATGCATTACTGGATGTTACACACAATTAGCTATCAAATTTCTGACTTGATCTGTGGCTGGTACAAGTTTGGGATACTCCTCCCACATATGACAGGTTTAAACCAACTCTAGACTCAGATTTTTTAATGCTGTTGCAATCAACTAATTTAAAACAATTATATTATGTTGACCTGAAAAGGAAGACCAAGGACGCTGCGGGCCTGCTGTTAAATAACCAGGAGGAAAACTTAACAGAAGATGCAAAGAGGGCAGAGCTCCTTAATAGCTACTTTGCCCCAGTCTTCACACAGACAAAAAAGTGTTTTTATTGAGATACCTAATAATGATCTTTTGGGTAAAGAAGGGGCAAGCTGAGGGATGAGATAACAAAAGTGACAGACAGCTTTTGATGGATATAAACAAACTGAAGTCAGCAAGGCGTAATGAACTTCACCCAAGGTACTGAAGGAACTGGCTGAGATCTCAGAGCCCTTGGCATATTTACGAAGTTATGGGAGACAGGCAAGGTACCCAAGTACTGGAAAAGGGCTAATGTAGTGCCAGTCTTTGAAAAAGGGAAAAAAGGAGAACCCAGGGAACTACAGACTGGTTAGCTTCACTTTAATACCTGGGAAGTTAATGGAGCATATCTTAAGGAAATCCATTTGGAAAAGGAAAGGCTGATCGCAAGCAGCCAGCATGGACTTACAAAGGACAAATCATGTAAAACAAACTTGATCTTCAACAAAGTGACTACTTGGGTAGATGAAAGGAATGCTACAGATATAGCATATCTCGACTTTAGCAAGGCTTTTCACAAGATTTCACATGACCTTCTCATAAACAAATTGGAGAAGTGTAGGCTAGACCAAACTGCTAAAAGATGGATAGACAACTGACTCAATAGTTATAAGGGAAGTGTATTTATAAATTAATTCATGTCAGAATGGCAGGAGATTTTGAACAGAGTCCCACAGGGGTCTGTCCTGGGTCCAGTGTTGTTCAACATGTTTATTAATGATTTAGATACTGCAAGTGAGAGCTTCTTAAGTAAGCCTACAGACAAGATGAAACTTGGAAGGATTGCTGGAGGATAGAACTGCAATTCAGAAAGATCTTGAAAGACTGGAAAGTTGGACAGGATGAAGTCCAATGTTGACAAATGCACCGTGTTACACTTCAGGAAGAATAATCAAAAATACAAAATGGGTGACACCTGGCTAGATGGCAGCCCTACAGATAAAGATTTGCAAGTCTTGGTAGATCAGAGACAACATGAGTTTGTAGTATAATGCAACTACACAAAAAGTGAATGTGATTTTGGGATGCAACAACAGGAGTAGTAAGTTCAAGACATGGGAGGTAATAGTGCCTCTTTACTTGGCTCTGGTTAGGCCTCATTCTGAGTACTGCATGCAGATTTGGGCTCCACATTTTAAAAAGAATGTTAAGAAGTTAGAGAGAGTCCAGGGGTGGGCACCAAAAATGATAAAGGACTCAGAAGGCACATCATACGAGGAGAGGTTGAAGAAGCTAGGCATGTTCAGTTTGTGGAAAAGGCACTTAAGAGGGGACATGACAGCAGTCTTCAAATACTTTAAGGGCTTCTATAAAGAAAATGGAGAACACCTTTTCTCTCCTGCTGCAGAGCAGGACATAGACCAATGGCTTGAAGTTGCAGCAAAGTAGGTTTAGACTAAATATCAGGAAAAAAACTTCTTCATTATTAGAACATGAGACAGTGGAATAGACTGCCTAGGGAAGTTGTGGACCTCCAGCACTGGCGGTGTTCAAGAAGAGCTTGGACAGCCACTGGTCAAGGATGATCGAGGCATAACTATGCCTATGTTCTACTACTGGTATTTCCCAGGCTTCTGGGCTCTGCTGTTTGCCGCATGGGGTTGGATAGAGATGATGACCTTTCAAAATTCCTTTCAGCTCTGCTCCTCTATTATTCTATGATTCTACTTTTTATGTTTCTTATATCAATTAATACAAGGCATATATTTTTCTTAGAAGAAATGTAGGGAAAACGTTTTGCAGAGATCTGTATTCCCAAATAATGCAACTTCAGAGTAGTGCTCATCTACCTAAAAAGACATGTGCTCTAGTGCAAAAGTAAAATCCAACTTGGACTACTCGAAAGTTAGTGGCTCTTTAAAATTTCAAAATCATCTTTCTGTCTGCAAAACTCTTATGAAATGACTGTTATTCCATGGAATTAGAGGAAACCTACTTTTCCAGTTTGTGCATTTTACAATCCTTCGCTTTCCATTAAGCCTAATATTTCCCCTATTGAGTCAGTCAGTTTCACCTGCCTTTTAATATTAACAGATAAAAGAAAAAATGTTAGGGACAGGAAAGTGCAAGCACAGTCTTGTGGGCAATGACATTACTTGAAAATATTTTAAACTTATATTTAATCCACAAATGCACACATTCAGTTCCACATATAGTTATCAGGAGTTGCGCTCACATACCTCAGAACAGACTCTGGACCATGTACAGGATGGTGCCATTGGTCCGGCTGCTACACCTTTTGAAATGCATTGATTGTAGCCATATGGATTTATAGTCCTATGTGGTCTACATTTCCTTTGATGGCCAGTAAAATGGAGTCACTAAGTGATTTAACAAACCTATACAGGGCAGCGGTGTTCTTTTTATGAAGCAAAGCCTGAAGCACTAAACATTAGCATTAAACCCAATGAAGAATACGCTGGAATACAGACAAATGTGAGAAATGGGGAGAAGGATGTGGGAAGTACCTGTTCATGGATCTCACCTGATTAGACCAAATTGATTCTAAAACTGAAAAAATATGAAAAGCAAATTGTTCCCTTCTTCACATTTATTGAAAGAGATTAAAAATTATGGAGATGAAATTCTATTTATAACTGTGCCCTTTATTCCATGATATATATACAATGCTGACGTTGTTTGAGCTACAGGTTTGCTTTACCTTGTGATTTAGAACAGCACATCCCTTTTCTCAGGCAGTGAGGTACAGTATGTGTCTTTGGGGAAAAGCTGGAAGATAAACACTTTTGATCCTGGGACACAGACACTGTTTAACATCACCGGTTACCACCGTGGCTACATGTTGGTAATGACTCTCAAGGCTAAAATTTCAGGAGGTTGAAACTTACTGTATGTCCTTGAAAAGTTTTAACTGGGCGATCACAGCCAAGTCTGCATACATGAATGCACATGTCAGTACTACAGGAGGCAAAAGTAGTGTTGTTCTGCCAGTCTACATCCAGAGCAGGGGCTGCAAAGCACAAACAACAGAGTGAACATTAAGGCAAAGAGATACAAAGTCCCCATGCCACTGACCTAACCAAAGGGATAAAAAAAAATAGTCACTGGCCTCTTATAGACCTGGAAGAGTTCATTGCTGATGTGAAGTTTAGAGACTGAATATATGCTGTAGCTGTTTTAGGAGCTCAATTTTTTATCTGCTTGGAGAGAGGGAAACTTGGATATTTCATTTGGCATCTTCTGATGAGAGCCCTTAGGCCTTCAGGCAGTTTTAAGCCTATTGTTTTCCACACATGTCAACCTGGCTTAGCTTTGTTTTATAGAGAGGCACCTTTATTTGGTAGGTGATCAACCTAGGATAAATTGATTAAGCCTGGTTAAGTAAATTAAGAATATCCACACACAATTTAAAAAACACATTAATTGGGCAAAAGCCAATTTAAAGCTAAACCACTTCAACTTTGGATACAGACAAGGCCTAATGTATTGTATTGTTTTATTTTGTTGCCAAGGAAATCTTTCAGCTGCCCTCCTGAGAATGAGATCTACTTTTTATTTTCCAAATATTCTTATTATGCATATGCCAGTAATGATGACAATTTATATTGGGCAAATACGTGGTGCATGTTTATCATTAAAATGAAAATGAGACCATTGAAATTCATAATTTTGAGTTGTTCTAAGCAACACTTTAAAAAGTCTAAGGATAGAAATTTATCTGGGTGGGGGAGTGGGACGGGGGATACCAATTACCTTGACTACATTTGTCCTGTCTCTATCCTCATAACCAGTGAAATGAAAATAAGCATGTCATGAGAGATGATGGCACTTTCTAAATCAGCAGGTGGCTTTCATTTAACTCTGTCCCATTAAACAAACAAATGAACAAACAAAACAACACCCAAAACCTAAAATCCCAGCTATACTGAAAAGGCTGAATTAAAGGCTTCAATTAAATCTGTCATTTATAATAATGAATAACCAAACCAAAGCATCCACATGATTTGGTATAGGAGGAAAAATAAGAGAAAAGTTAATGTTTTAAAAAAGAGCCTGCTACAGAGATAGGGGGAGTCAATGTGGAGACTGGGAGGCAGCCTGAGATTTTGATTTCCTTGGACTGCCTGTCTGTCTTACATTTGTTCTGTGCTGCTTTGAATTGTGTGTTTTTAAATAAAAAACGATGGATAATCATTAGTATTGGTTTCCTTTTGGGCCTCCTAGGAAGTTTAAGAAATTTCGATCTAGAATTAATTTTCTAAGACCTGCCTAGACCTGAAATTATTGAATTATAATGGAAGGGCTATACAAATAAGAACAGTGTTACAAAGATATGGTAAATTAAGCCTGGTTCATTAAATTATGCTTAACATCTCTAGTATCAATAACAATTACTTCTATGCTTTATTTAATCATGTTTATTCAAGATATAAGGAAGCAAACAAACAAAATATTTTGGAGAAAACAGCCAAGGGTGTTATATGAGAAAAGTCAGCAAATTAAAGATCTGGTGTGTGGAGCCTTTGGATCCAGCCCAGGGAGCTGTGACTTTGGTGGCATTTAGAATATCAGGGGCTCTGCCTATGTCTCACCACCGTCAGGCAGCATGGGCTCCAGCAGAGGGGCCTCTGCATGTGCTCTGCCACTGTCAGGTAGCAGAAAGAGGCAGCAGAGGTGGCCGGGTCTTAGTGCCTGTCAACTTAAGACCCAAACTGATTCATTGCAGACCAGCCAGATAATGTTGACAATCCCTGCTTTACAGAATGAGTAATGTGACTGCAAAAGCAGGGAAAGCCATACAGGCTTTTAGCCAACTGGTTGCTTTACAACATTTCTTAAAACCACCACCAAAATTCAAGAAATGAAGTTACAATAAAATAAATACCAGCAATATAATATGTCTAGTATGAAGAGAGGCAAGTGACAAAGCATGGTACTGTAATGACTAATTAGCTCAGCTTTCTCTTGCTTGTTACACTGTATCAGTTTAATAATTTACTTCTGGGTGGCACTTTGTATGCATGTCCAAACTTCGATAAATCTGAAAATAGGATTCTTCCAATTATGTTTAATTAAATGAGCACTTGGAACATGTTCTGGCTGAAGTCTGTGCGTGGCTGAGGAAAACAGAAGGGCAAATTTATAAAAGGGTTAAAAAAAAGTGGTTTATGGAAACTGTAGGTTTGAACCTAAACCTGCAACAAGACCCCAGGCTGTAGGGAATTCCAGGGAGATCAGAGGTCTCCAGGATCAGATACAAAAGGATTCTGGTTTGTCTAGACTAGGATAAAATGGTTCTGTATACATGTACGCATACATGTGTGAATCTGTGTGAAAGTTTTCACCAATATGTGCTAAAAGTCTATGGCTGACCAGGCAGTACAGATTTTTATCATGTGCTATGATAGGTTAGTCAAAATGCAGGTTCCTTTCATGGCTTTATATAACTCATTTAATATGTGCTAAAAGAAGTGTGATTTGTTTGGACTAGACTTCTAAATTGTGTTAGGTGGAAATGTTGCACCTTTAAATCCTAGTCTGCACAAGGACTTTGGTGGTATGTGATGTTTCTTGGGTGGGGGGCAGGATGGGGCATGTGTAGGAAGTGACACTCTGTAGCTAATTCATCTGCTATGCAGTAAAGAATCTCGTGTAGATGTGCCCTGTGTTTTCTCTTGAATGCAGCACACTGTAGATCATTCAAATCCACATTGTTTGGAACTCGCTTAATTCTCAGTGGGTTGATGAATTAAAGGTAAATAAGCCACTCAGTTGTTTGCTATGGCTTTTACTTCAAAGGTAAAAATACATTGACTCAGCTAGAGCTCTTTGGTAGTCCCACGCAAGCTCTTAACTGCAATTCTGAATAGTCCCAGTTATTCTGCAAATCCTTGTTTTGCAGAGGAGCTAGGAAACTAACTATGCAAATTATCCAGGTTCTACCATAAATATCTCTGCCTCTAATGGACATCAGTAATATCGAGGTTGGTTTGGATTTTTACACTGGGAAATAAGCGCTATTTTAAAAATTAGGCTCCTGGCAGATGTTCACTTTAAGACATGATAGGATCTAATCCTTGATCCCAACAACTATGCATCCTACTGTACCACACATGCTTAGCAAGATGCATGATTTTGGAATTGGGGGGTTATCCTGGGATCCCCCTGCACCAGAAAGATTAAACCAACCAGGTGATTGTCATTTGGGGCTGGGAACCAAATCAGTCCCCAGCCACAACTGACAATCATCTCAGCTCACGGGGAGCCTAGTATTGGGATGAGATAGCTCAGTGCTGGATTCCCTGGGTACTGCAAGTTATAAAATCACGTGTGCTGCCATGGTTTTGATGGGTCCCAATGCATGGGGAGACCAGCATCAGGCAGCTGCAGCCCAATGTCCAAGGGAGCCATAAAACCATGTGTACCCGCCAGACAGGGGTCACATAGGGTTTATACAACTCCTCATGTATGACATATGGGTTTTGACAGGTCCTGGCCACATGTTCAATTTAAGGTGTGATACAAATGAGCCACAAAGTTATTCTATAGCATATTCCATTGTATGTGGAATAAGGTTGTGGCTTGTTTACTGCATTGAGTTGCACATGTGGCCGATCACTAAGGCACAATTAATCTGTTAATGGTGCCTTAAATGTAACGTGTGTTGGGGGCTTTACTTAATAAAACAAAAATAACATATTTTTAAGCACCATTTAGGACCTATGCTAGACCAGACCATTATGTTTAAAAAAACCCCAAACCATAGATTGCTGTTATCCTATGAGAGGGGACTATAACATATTTTGAACAAGAATTTGGATGTTTTAAAATAATTAGAGTAGTTTTTTAACCTGGAATGTCATTATATGACTATGCCTGATATAGCTCTTTCACTGTAAATACTTTTCCAGGATCAGATTTTGATCCCAACTACTATTTGGTAAAGGATGATGTCCCACTGGGTTGGTTGTGTGGGCAAGACTAATAAGCAGCTTGTTCAGATGGGACCAAAACCCTACACATGATCTCCACCAAACTTCTGGAATGGTGCAATCCAGAATCTTCATTGATATCTGAATTTTGCTCCTTATTTCTAAGAAAAGGCAAAACCAAAATCTGAGATCTAAACTTTGGGCTGTTTAAAATCCTGTCCTGGGTCTAGGTCTTTTAATTCAAGAAACTTTAAGCAGGAATAGTTTTAGTAGCACTTGCTGACTCTGGTTGGTGGTGGGTCTGCTTCTTAGCCCCAGGGAGCTTTCCTAGAGCTCAGGGCTTTAGCAGGAACTAAACAGGTCTCAGAAATTCCCACAAAACAGCTGGGAATTCATAAAAAGCAGGACATGGTACTCTGGTTGAGAATCACTGTGCTAGAAAAATACTTTAAATTCTCTGAAAGTCAATTTCAACTTGGTGTCTATGCCTTGCAAATGATGCTCTCAAAGAATTTCTAATTGAGTATGTAACCGAGCCAACATGGTCAGTTCTTGCAGAGCCCCTTACCTTCTCTTAAGCAGAAAACAAGAATGCAACCCAACTGTTCATGAACAGCAAGGCACACATCCATTTTAAAGTTGGTTTTACTTTCAGTTGTATCTTTTTTCAAAGGGATATTTTCAGATTGCTAACATCAAGGGATTCAGAAAAAAATCACTTTATTCACAAAAAGCTAAAATGCCAATTACCTGAATGGAAAGGAAACTGCTGCTTGGCTTCTCCTGTGTGAGCATCCCAAATTATTGTTGTCTATGTCCAGAGGGAGGGAAAAGAAAAAAAGATTAGTGACCATTCCTCTTGGAAAGTAACAGGGGGAAAAAAAGAGCTCCCTGAGGACCAATTCTTAAAGATAGCTTGATAACATTATTGACTGCAGGGCCCCTTGGCTGTTGCAATGGTGTATAATATAAATCTCTCCCAATATACTAGTGATGGGAAAATAATGTAAGTGTAGATATTGAACTGTCACCATTACGAAGAAAGCAATGAAACCAATGGGAATGGGTTGCACACCTCTGAAATGCATTAGCCAGGAGATCAGACTCAGAAATTTCATGAGGTTGAGCTTTAGGAACACTTTGTTACAGGTATTTCAATTACTCAATAAATTTCAATAATAAGATTTATCTTTTAAATAAAGCTCTTTTCCCATGTTTTGTACAATTTAGACTGATTTTATTTATCATGGACCTAAGAGATTCTGTAAGTATCATTACTAAGTCACCATGTAGAACATTCATTTAAATGAAAAATGTACAGTGTATGCCGTCACTGTGGTGGCCACATGAAAATATAATTGGCTTACTATGGATTTTTCCCCCCCATAGATACAGAAAACTTCAGCAAAATCCTATAGAATTGAGCATTATCTTCGGAGTGAACTGTATGTTTATTAGAAAAATATATTTTTTCCATAAAATAAACACAGGATGCCTTAAGTCACTGATAATGCGGTCATGTAAAGAACTGATGCTGATCCAAAGAAAATGGATCTATTGGAATAATGGAGCCACTGCTGGGAAATAAGAGATACTGGGTATGTCTACACGTGGTGCTATATTGCCATAGCGACACACTACAGTGATGTAGCTCTTCGCTATGGCGATGTAGCATCAGTGGGCACAAACCATGATGCCGATGCTACATCACCATAGCAACAAGCTACCTCGCTATAGCACATTGCTACGGTGATACAGCTGCTAAATATAACTGTTTACCTCAAGGACAGCTCAGTAATGACTGTTACTGTGCTTATCATTTAGTACTTCCTAAAGCAAGTACTAAATAATGGTGCAGTAACAAATGCATCATGGGGGGCTCATGTAGACGATTCCACTGGGTATGGACTAGCTGTAAAATGGCATCAAACTAAAATTTTCATTTACAAGGATTTTAGGAAATTACTTTCCTGTTTCAGTACAAAAGGGTTTGTTCTCATCCTTCATCAAAATTTGAAAGCTGTATCTTTGAGGAATACTCAACTGAAACCTGGCGCTGTTGGCCTGCTTTTAAAATTAACACCAGCATGTTTTGCAAACAAAAATGTAAATAGTTTATTCAAATTTGTCTGTCTGGATGTTGAGATCAGCTAGAAAACAAGACCTTTTAAACCTGTTTCCCTGTCCCAGGATATTTTCATTTGCTAAAGGAGATGGATGTAAATACACAAGGAAATAACACTTGTTTCCTTGATATAGAAAAGGCGCAACATTCAGTTTGACACATATAGCAAAGTAAGGATGTGTAAAAAACTGTTCTTGCATGGTATAAATTTATATAAACATGGAAGAGTAATCAGTCACTTGGTCTGATGAAATCAAGGCCCAACAAAGCAATCTTAAAATAGGGCAAATTTGCAAAGCAAGAGAAAGAGGGGGCACTGGAATTTTAAACAAGACAGGTTCACAGCATCAGAACATTTATACATCAAAGTTACATCTGTGTAAAACTCACTTTATCAACACCAGCACTTAAAATGTAATTCCCCTTTTTGTTCCATTTAAGGGCAAATATAGGACCTTTATGTTGACCTAAGGTACTAGCAAGGTTTCCTGAAATAAAAAGTAAAAAAAAAGATGAATGTCACAATTGCTTGGAAGCTGGAATAAGGATAACATAGCACAACACTAGCAACCATTTGTGAAAACAAAACTGTTGTTTGACTTACCATCTTCTGTCCATATTCTTGCAAAACCATCATATGATCCTGTAGCCAACAGTGTTCCATCACTCTGGTGTGAAAAGGGCAATAAAAACAAAATGTAAATAAAGACTGCACACAGATTCACTGATTTATTCTTTAACTTAGTGTCTTCTGAAATAAGGGAAATGTGACAGCTAGCATGGCAAAACATCAACTACTGTTATTAAATTAGAGGTTAGCACTATTGTCACCAATGAGAGAATAAAATTCACAAACATGACATTAAATATTGGGCTATACTGAATAACAGAATAACTTAACAAAAGCATTAGGACAAGTCCCTGGTATATAATGATTTTCTGGGATTTGTTTTATGGTTGATAAACATAGTTAGCATTTTCTAGCATTTAGCATATAATTTTTAACATGAATCCCTTTGATAATGTTTCTATTACAACATTAATCATATACAAACACAAGAGAATAAAAATATACTAGTAGGAAAGGTTCATATCAGAATACAAATACTATCATACGTCTAACTAAATAATAATGGCAGATATCTTTAAGTTAAGAAAAGCACAGAATAACCCCTTGATAAATTATGTCCATTCATATCTTTAAAAACAATGGGAGAAAGTAGCTACTTATTTAGCACAAGTTATAAAGCAACACAATCTGAATCACATTTACTGAGACGTATTCAGTTACATGATGGTATGCACATAGGTAATAACCAGGGATCTTGATTTTCTCTGATAAAAAAAAAACCTCCTTAATTTTTAGGTTAAAAAAGTAAAAGTGTCTCATTCTGATCATGGAAGAATGTGGATTGTGGGTTACTTTTTTGATCTGAAAATTGGAGATTTTTTTTAATCAGAGAAAACCAGGATCCCTGGTGATAACCACAATGGAAAACAAGAGAGGGGAAAGATAAGTAAAAGATGCAGAAGTAAAAGATGGACAAATATAGTTCAGATTTCCATCCCACAAGATAGTAGTAATTTTCTTGTTTTCACTTCCCTTGTAAATCACCTTAACAATTTGGGATCATATTGAGTTATTCATTAGGAACGTTTGCTTATGTAAACACTAAAATAAACTTTAAGATATATCTTGATAGAAGTAATAGCTTTGGAAATTAAATGAAAAGATCAGTCATTGAAAGATACTTCTTCCCAACCATTCCTTCCACTTTTTCCATACTCATCTCTTTTTTCCCTTCTTGCTTCCTTCTCTGTAGTGAATTCTTCATTTCTTTACTCTGGTCTACTTAACTACCATCCAACTCCTTTTTCCAAATCATCCTGGATATTGTTCTTTTCCATGCTGCTCACACCATTCTTGATCAAGTATTCAAGAAGATTCACTATTTTCACGTTTATCTTCCTTTTTAACATTGCTGTAACCCGTGTCTGCTTTTCATTGCCTTCGTTCACAGCATCAAGTTTATCATAAAAGTGTAAGCTATAAATTCCACAGCTTTAACCCTTTTTTTGGTGAAGCATCCAATTTGCTCTGGGGTCACAATAATCATGCAGTGATGAACAATCAATATATGTGAGCCCCAAACCTGCAAATGGCAACTTGGGTTGATGTGAAGTCTGACCAACATTTACTTTTTTTATTTCCTTATTCTTAAAGACAGTTAAGCCATTTTTATTCACACTTCTATGGTGATAAAAGTTACAATTTAGAGATGCTCCATAATTTAGAAGAGTTGGTAACTGGAAGATTGTCCCCTCTTTGGAGCAAGTAGATAGTCAGAGACAAAGGGACTTCAGAAGGTTGTCTGCTAATCCACAATAAAAAGTTGTTTAGTCCTTCTCATTCATGTCCAACTGTCTTTACCGAGCTTGGTGCTGACTACACCTTCCAAAAATAAATATATGAACACATAAATTACTCAGCCCTGGTAGCAACACATATGGAATATCTGAGTATAGCAAACCAAAATTCAGTCCTATATATGTACCTGAAAGTAGGGTGTTCATAGAGTAGGGTAGAATCCTGGCTCTCTTAAGTATAAAGGAATAAAATAGGAGCTGCAATTGCCTCTAAATTAAATTTATAGAGTTAAAAACTATGCATGTTCTTAGAAGTTAACTTACATTCCAGTCCAATGAAGTCACATCCTTATTGCTGGGGACATCGTGTCCTCCTTCTCTTATGCAGTGCCTCAAAACTAACTGAGTGGAACCGCTGTTGCTGTTTTCATTGAGATTCCATATTCTGGCTGTTGAGTCTCCAGATCTACAAAGATGAACAGAAAGAAAGGACCACTTTTTAATGAGACCCTTTAATACAGGTGGTTGGAACCTCCAGGTACACTGGGGATTCAGAGAACTCATAGAACAGGTCGGAAACGTACAGCTTGTGGCTGCATCTGGCTCAAGGTGCTGGAGAGCGTTGCCTGTTCCTGTACCTATGCCCATGTGGGGGCTGAACAGTGAGGAAATGCATGAGGCCAGGCAGCTGGAAGCTCAGTCCATGCTGCTGTCACTTTTCCTCGCCCCCCTACCTTCCTCTATATCCAGCTGGGAAGTGGGCAGGCTGGGAGAAGCAGTGGCTGGCAGCATGGGTGCTGTTCCCAGCCACCTGGATCAGGCATGGTTCTCTGCTGCTGACATACTGCAGAAGTCATTTGGTCCGCATCAGACCAGCCTGCAGGTTGCCAGCCTCTGTTACAGACTTTTAAAAAGTACTTTTTTCCCTTCATTCCCATTCTCCAATTCTCTACTTGCAAAATTTTTAATTTAGTGACAATCGTTCCTGTTCATGTTCTTAAACTAAATGCAAAGCAAACCTTTTCTTGTGAATCAATTTATATTGCAGCTATATTTTTCAAAACCCAGTTGTGGACTTGACATTCATTCACCCTGTTTCACATTTCATGCACACATCACATTTGAATTAGAACACAACTCAGATCATGTAACAGAAATTAACAAGTAACAATTTATCAAAACTCAAACAAAACCATATACAGTTCACTCTTTGGTGTAGTCTAAGAGTTCTCTACCACAAGTCCAGAACGCTGACTTAAAACAGGATCTGGACCATGCCTTTTTTGGTGGTTACAAGCTAGCACTATTGGTTCAAAGCCACCTACTTAGCACTGTTCTTTAAGGCAGCATTTCTTAACCCATGGGTTGCATCTCAAAAGTGAGTTGCAAGAATATATGAAAGGGCTGTGCACAAACTTTAAAAATGGATTCTCCTGTAAAAAAGAAAAACTTGGGAAACCATGGCTTTTCCCTTGCAGGCTGGCAGGATTTCAGCCTGCAAGGGGCTGCCCCCATGCCCCACACACCCACCCCCTACCACACACATCTAACCCTTGGTCCCACACACTGGGGAGGGGGGGAGAGGGGCAGGGGCAGAAGTTCGAGAGTGAGGAGAACTGGGTCAGGACTGGCCATTGATGTTTACAAATGGGTCATGGTCCAAAAAAGGTCGAGAAGCACTATTTAAGGGACATCCAGGCTTGGAGCAAGGCTTGGAGCAAGGTGGACTGTGCTCCAGTATTCACTGGTCTGCAGAATGGTCTCTTACCTCTAGGTTAGATGAGGAGCCAGACCAGCCTACAGTGAGTCCCAGAATTAGTGGAGCAAAGAGGTTGCTTAGCTGCGCCTTCCACTGTCTCTTGTCTACTGAGAGCTGTCTTGACTGAAACTTGGCCAAACTCAGTCATCTGGTTCACATCTTGCAGCGGTAAAACTGCTGTTAATACCAGCAGAGTCATTGCTTGGGCAGTAAATTTGGTAAACTATAAAGTGTTTGTAGTTGTACATATCCATTTTATGGACTGAGTCTTGTCTAAGTGAGGCATTTTCCTGAAAACTGAGGCCATGATCCTTTATCATCACAAAATTGTGACGATTAAGTCAGACTCTATTTTCCAATGAAAGAACATCCTTGAAGTTGGAAATCAATTTACCACAAGATGGCAGAGATTTCACTTCCCAGCTTCTTGGTATTTGCACAAAAAATACCTGTGTTTGTCCACTGAGGGAGGTATGTATGTGTGGCGGGGGCTACACTGCAGATTCACTGTGCCTGGCAATGGTGCACTCAGACACGTCATACTGATTCTCTTGGGTTATCTCCTGAACCAGGACCAGGGTAGCAGTGTTTGCATAACAAACTGGGGAGGCTAACTTGCCTTTCTGAAGTGCTGGGGGATGCTACTACCTTGGTGATCCAATGGGGCAGGACAGCATATCTGAGGGCACCGCCACTCAACCCAGTCTTTATTGCACTTGGTGCTGACTGTGACTTCCAAGAATAAATATATAAACACATAAATTACTAATCCCTAGTGGCAATATTTATGGAATTTCTGAGCACAGAAAACCAAAGTTCAGTCCTTCATACGTACCTGAAAACAGAGCGTTAACAGAACAGACTAGAAACTTGGCTCTCTGAAGTATTAAGGAATAAAAGAGGAGTTGCAATTGTCTCTAAATTAAATTTCTGGAGCTAAAAAAGGTGCATGTTCCTAGTAGGTACCTTACATTCTATTTGTTGGACACACAACCCCATGTTACTTTCTTTCAAATGAAGTAAATAGAATGTGGAACATGTAGAATCTCTCATATTTTCATGAATTCATACATGTAGAGTGAAATTATATTGTCTATAGGTGCACTGTCAAACATTACTGTTGTTTTTTAAAGAAAATAATAATTAGAAGTTTTATTATCACAGAAAAAACACAAAAGGAGAAAATGCAGCTTGTAAGATCAGAATCTTGGGATAAAATTATTTTCTTCATAACACCCATTTTTAAGTGCACCAATAACACAATTGCACTGAATTGAACAGCGGGCTTCAGAAATCAAAAAAATCCAAGTTATAGATGCTAGCATTATTAAGAATATCCAAAAATATTTGTGATTGCCTGGCTCAGGCTGGCTGGCAGTGACCTGGCCCAGGGGTTTTGAAAGGGCAAAGATGATTGGAGGACTTGGGATTCCCTTTCTGCACCAATCAGGCCCCAGAGACTCACCCCCCGTGTCCCCTGATTGGCCCCTTGGGTCACCTGGAGGGGTATAAAAGGGGCAGCGTGGGCTGACTCAGGGGAGAGACCAGTGAGGGACAACAAGGAAGGGGCTTCACAGAGCTGAGCCAGTAGGGCAGGAGCAGTGCCCTGGAAGATCCTGAAGGAGCAGGACCTGCAGGCGGCAGTGGGACCCTCAGCAGTGCAGCCAGCAGGAGAGGCCCCCTACTGGGCTCCAGGATCCCCAAGGAGAGGGTGTGGGCAGCAGTAAAGGCTCCCCCACTCCAGCAAGGATCTGAGCAGCGACCTAAGGGGTTCCCAGCTCTGCTTTCAGCTCCTCCAATCAGAGGCCAGGCAGCTTTGGGAAGGTCAAGACCCCTATCAGATTAGAGTGCTGCCACCAGTGGTGGTGGTGCGGCAGCATCCCTATCCACCACATGGGAGATCTGGGTTCAAGTCCCAGCTGACATGACTTGGGGTGGGTGAGATAACAAGAAGCAAATCTTCTTGCAGTGGAAAGGGGCTATTGTGTTTTTTCTCCCCCTCCAGGTACCAAGGCCCTATATTTCCTTGTCATTTGACATTTTGCATTTTGCGCTTTTTTATATTTCACCAACCCATATTGTTTGTTCTGCTGTTTGTGCTTTATATTTTGTTAACTCTGTTTTTGTCAATGATTGTAAGTGTCTAACCTTTGTTGAATCCTGCCCTCTTGGGGCACTGCACTGTCCACTATACCCTCTGATTTATGCCTGTTATGTTCCCAGTATTAAAAGGTATATGGTTAAGTCCCCATTGGTGGTCTGGCTCTGCTCTATACGGGAGGAGAGTCCCTACACCTCCCACAGCATTTGTGCACCTGCTTTGATTCCTTCAATTTGAGAGAGGGGGTACCTTTTGGAGTACCGCCCAGGTTACATATTCAAAACTATTAAAACATGTATTATTAAAGCAATTTTCAACAATTGAATTTACAAAACAATCTAAATTATATTAAAATGCTTAAAAATATATACAGATCAAGTTACTTAAGTTGATCTGTCTGGCATGAAACCAGAAAGAACTCAGTGGGTGTGTCCAGATGTGCGTGGATGTTTGGTTCCCTGGGGACAACTAGCAGCAGTGCACCTTGCACCACAGATACCTGTCCCCAGGGAACGCCTGGGCTACTCATGCTTTGGCACATGGCAAGTTGCCTTGGGTGGGGTAGGGGAGGCTGGGAGCAGCACTTACCTGAGGTTCCAGGGCCTCCCGGGACTGCAGCCCTGGTGATTTCTGCTGTGCAGAGCTTGGCTGGGAGCAGAGTGTGGTTCTGGGCAGCCCAGCTCTTCTTTTCAGTGGCATGTGCTGCCCAAGTGTGTGTTGCACCATTTTTTCCCCCCACGGTTGCTTTTTGACCCCTGGACATCCAAGGGTCAAAACCCATTGAAACAAACCCTGGCACAGTGCATGCTTGGGCAGTGTGTCCTTGCAGCAGAGAGAACACCAGACTGTGCAGGATGTGGCACTGCAAATGTGTTTGTGGCACCACATACCACATAATTGTGCTTGTCTGGATGCGCCCAGTGGATGCATCTATACGTGCTATGAAGGCGACATAATAACCCCCGGTTAGTTTGTGTGTGTAGATACATTTAAATAATAATTTAAATTGATTTGTAAATTGATTTGCTGTAAATTGATGTAATAATCAATTAAATCACGTGCACCTGGGACGGCAGTATTTTGAGGCAGGGTAGAGCAGCCCCAGGCTGGCATCAGGCTCAGGGGATCAACTCAGGGCTCTGGGTGTTGGTATCAGGTGGCAGATGGGTTGGTTGAGGCACAAAAGTGCCTGAAGTGCAGAGCTGTGTAGCTAGGGAGCAGGCAGGGGTCTGGCCCCATTGCCTGGGTTGACTAGGCACAATTTATGCCTGGGTCAGCATTTACACATGCATATCACAGCAGTTAATAACTGCCATAAGATAGTATTGTCCCCAACAGAACTACCTTACAGCGGAGTTAATTAATTTATTGCACCCTAATACTGGTACTTGTGTAGACAGAGATACTTTACTGCGACATTAACTAGTCAACTCCACAGTAAAGCACATGTGTAGATGCATCCAGTAAATGTTTATATTAATCACTGTTATTCATCAGGCAATCATTGCTTTTTCAATCAGAGTTTACAAACGCAATTAGTCTGTGGGACTCTCAGAATTATTTATAAAACTGATTTTCATAGGAGGACTATTTTATTACTCCTAAT